TAGAAAAGTCCTCAACGAGTTATGTAGCTTCAAACTCAACTAGCCACATTGTGTGCGCGCCTGGTCACAGAGGCATATATGTAGAAGGTAACCGTACAGCAGAGGAGCCTGCGAGGAAGGGAACACCCTGTCCGACGTCAACTCTTCGCACGGTGCGGGCATACCGCTATCTATCTAGAACACATGACATAAAACACATTTCCTCGAGAAGGCAAATAAAAGACGGTCTTCTGCGGCCACGTGTGGGACGGCTCGACAAATCTGGCTGACGGTTAGAGCGCTCTCTACTCAGGCAAGTGACCGGAAACATAACGGGTCACTGCTTCATTGGAGGCCATGCTGACAGCATGGGTTTGCCAGCCAATGACTTCTGGGGAAACTGCCGCGCCAAGGAACACATAGAGAGTGTTGAGTCGTGGGCAAGAATACGCTCATTCCAATATCACCTGGCGGATTTTTTGATAATTTTTTGTACTAGGTAGGCTGTCCTTTCTTAAGACTGACTACATTATAAAATAAACAAAGCAAAGCTCTTTACAGTTCATACGGAAGGACCTGTGTTTTACAACGATAATTACTGTAAGTTGAGTTGATTATCGAGGCATAGAAAATTAGGTAACAGTCAATTGTAATAGATACCGAACTAATCATTCCATTCTAGTTGATGAGTTGCAACAGGCTAATATACTTAGTTAGTATTTTTTTGCAGGCTCATAAATTTATATTCATGTGATCTAGGGGGCAGTACCGCTCTAATCTATTTCACGTCGATTAGATAGATATAGTTACATATATATATATGTATGCACGTTAAAATGCGTTTCACCATAGACAAAAAAAATACAGAATTATCTATTACTAGTTTTCGGTCTTTGCCCGTTGGATGCACTTACACATTCCTCAGTTAAATCGAAATTATTCTCAAAACGGTGATGGTTGTCGCGGCTTTTATTTCAATAATTATTGTTGTAGTACTGCTGTTCCTTGCTGCGGCCTTTTATTGTTTTGTTGCTAATAAAAGTGCTAGCAACTGTAAGTTGTGTGAGCATATTTAGAATGTGTAGTAATAGATATCGCACACGATCTTCAAAAGTGACACAACTCAAAATTTGGCATTTTCAAAATTTTGCACCAAAAATGTACACAGAGCTTTTATTTACCTTTCAGCAAAAGCTGGAGCAAGTTTTTTGTTATAATTTGTTGAAAAAATCTAAGGTAAAGTCTTCCTTGCCCATATGATTATCATGTGCTAAGAAATAGTTTTTCGCATTCGCTGACGAACGTGTAATTCTGAGTTATGTCTCTTTTGCAGACGGTGTGCGTTTAACGCC